CCGCGGCTTCTCACAGCCTTCGGCCTTCGTGTGTGCTCGGGTGCGGCCTCTGAGGCTCACAGGACCACTCACAGGATGGTGCTGCCCCCTGCAGCCCTTGCACGCCCATCCTTGGCCCCCCTTGACCACCACTACATTTTTTTAGAAAAACATCGCTCCTGCAGCTTCTAAAATACTGGCTAGTTTATCCCTCGTGTTTGTTTTTATTTTTGTTTCTTTCTCCTGGATTGTGTCAAATGAACAGGACATTTTTGTTCCTTTGAGGTAGCAACTGTCTGGAACCTAGAAAGGGGCTCGCAGGGCACATGGCGGGTTGTGAGGAATGTTGGGGACCCTGCGGTGACTGCCCGCAGTCAGGTGCTGTGTACTCAGCCCGCCATGGGCGCCGCTGGGCCGCGTGCCTGGCCGGTGTGGGCTGCGCCGGGAGCGGCCTGACAGTCCACTCGGGGAGCCCTGCGGGCAGGCGGGCGCGCCGGGTTGTCTTCATGCAGCTCGTGTCTTGGTCGCGTTTGTAGTTGTAGTAACATGTTGTGCTTACTACAGCTATAAACTCGTTTTCTCTTTAAATTGTGGGCAAAAAAAAAAAAACACAACATAAACTTTACCATTTTAGGCATTTTCTAGGGTACAGTGCACTATGTCGCAGCATGTCACCTGGTTGGCATGTCATCGTCATGTCACCACTCTCCAAGAACTCTCTTCATCTTGCAGATTTGAGACTGTGCCCATTAAACACCCCTCAGCTCCGCCTGACAGCCATTCTGCTTTCCGTTTGAATTGAACCACAGGAGATGCCTCATATAAGGAAAATTAGACCGCGTTTGTCTTTTGTGACTGGCTTACTCACTTAGCACAAGGTTCACCTGTGTCAGCAGGTGCCAGGATTTCCTTCCTTTTTTAAGGCTGAGCAGAAGTCACTGTGGGGGGGAGTAGGGGACATGGACACTACGCCGCGCTCAGTCCCTCCTGTCATCTGTCCTTGGACTCTGGTTCCTTCCACCTCCTTTTGCATTCTGTGACAAGCTGCTGAGAACTTGTGGGTGTGGGTAACGTCAAGGCTACAAAGGCTTTTCTTGAGCTCTTAGGGCTCAATAAACAGATCAGTCAACTAGATTCTTAGTGTACATCTCTCCATATTAATTTTCAGGTTCTTAGTTATTTACTGGCATATTTTCTTTTCTTTTTTTTTTTAAAGATTTATTTATTTGCACATACAGTACTGGGGTACAGGCCAGAGGTTCAGGGGCGGTGAGAGGCTTCACTAGAGATAGCGTGGGGAGCAGAACAGGCAGGTCGACGAAGTACACTGCTGAGGGGAGCAGCGGGCGGGTCAGGAGAGGTCTGCCGTGCCATGTGGATCACCTCCGGGGCAGGCGGGGATCGAACTCATGCGGAAGTGGCTTTAGCTTCTTGGTGCTGTGCTTTAACCTGCTGCGCCACCAGGGAGGGCCCCGCATATTTTCTTTTACATAGTTTATCCTAAGATTTGTGCTGTGATGTGAGCACAGATGTGTAGGTGGCCTTTTTAACGTGATACACTCCCGGGTGAGTGCTCATCAAAAAGGCAGTGGGTCCCTTGAGAGAAAGAGCTGTTCTGTCTTCCAGCTAGGCTGGCTGGGGTGTCCTGTTCAGCACAGGAGAACCAGAGTAGTATAGTGTTGTGATGGCAAACAAGAGACTAACTGGGAGGAAGTAGCAGTGCTGCTGAGCAGCAGAGGAGGCTGGGATGTCTTGGAGTTAGTGACCTGAGCAAGACAGAGCGGGCCCAGCAGGCGGAGTCCAGTGGGGAAGGCCGTGTGCGAGAGTGTGCAGACCAGTTGTGTTAGTGAGCACAGGCGTTGAGGGAGACCTTTGGTGCTGAAAGGAACCAGGTAGGCTGACGGATGGGTGGAGGGAGTTAAGAAACTGGTTTATAATGGGTGAGCCATGAGTATATATAAAACGATGGGAGGCCAAGGTGAGGGGATCTCTGAATAGATGAGAGGTTTTCAGGTTTGCTTCCTGAGGATTTGGAGGGGACAGGTTACAAGGCCAAGGTCCTGACGCCTGTTGGGAAGCACTTTCCCTCAGTGATGATGGGAAGGGAGAGCACCGGGTGCCAAGCTGGGTACAGATGGGCCTGGGCTTGGATTTGGCGAGAGGGGAGCACTCCCACCTGGAGCTTCTGGGCTTTTTTCTCTCTAAACGAGGAGATGAGTTCATCTGTTGAGAATTATGTTAGGAAGTGGAAGATGTTACATTTATAGTGCTGGTTAAGGGCTGGTGGTAGCCACTGCTGTTGGGGACATAGATGAAGCATAAAGTTCTAGACTCAGGTAGAGAGGAGAACATCTCCTTTTTGCTAATTAATTCTACACTTAACTGAATTTCTACCAAGACAGTCCTTGCCCAGGGAGCTTATACACTCAGGCATGTCTGGGAACATCCATCACGTGCAGGAGAGGTAAGAGCAGTGCTCACACCACAGAGTCATGTCTCCCCGAGGAAGCTGATCTCGGGGCATGCTCAAGGCTCCGTCCTGGTGGCAAGGGCAGGCCACTTGCAGCTTCCACGCGCGGCGACCCCGGAGACGCGGGCCCTGCGTGGCGGTAACGCATGTTCACTATTCTGAGGCAGCGTGTCCTGTGCCGTTAAAAACGTGCCAGAGAAGCTGATGACTGGAAAGAAAATTTCATAAAAATGCATTGCTCCCTTAAAGGGTCTTGTGTGTATACCTGTTTTGGGAAGGAGTTAACAGTGACCTGGTGTGTATCAGGCACTATTGCAGCCTTGTAATTTCCCAGTTTGGGATGATGAACTCATGCAGCTCATTAAGGGTAAGAGGCATTGTTTGATTCATTCAAGGTTTTTTTTTCCTCTTCAGCGTGAGATGAAAAAAAAAAAAACCTCCACATTTGAATCTAGGACTTAAAAAATGCCAGTTGTCTAAATACAGTACCATATTGCGATAAATATAGCTATTGAAATTTTAAAAATCTATTCACAAAACTTTATTTTAATATTCATAGCAGAACTTTTTTTGGAATGTTATCTGAAAAACAGAGGACCATTTTATTATCAGAGCTGAGTATTAATTAGGGTATTGTTTCAGATATAAAAGTTGATCTGCCACTGAAATTCTATTTGAATATGTATAGTTCCAAGCTTGCTTTGTGTATTTAATAACTTTAGTACCATAATTACTCTGTTTACAATTAAATTTTGGTGAATATGCTAATCTGGACTATACCGGAGAGTGATTTTAGCAAAGGGCAGTGTTGATTTGCATCTTGATGGGCTGTTCACTGCATCTGCATTTCGTTAATGAAGCTGGAGGAGAGGCGGTCAGATTATAGAAAATGGATTATGTGCTGGTAAACTTTTTCTTTGAAAGCTCTCTGTTGGGTTGTTTTCTGTAACTGTGGATTTGCATTCCTCCAAATAGACAGAAATGATGTGGAAGGACTTAATTTGGTCAAGATTTGTGAGCTCCAGTATATTCTTTGATAGAAACTTTGATGCAGGTGTCAGTATCATTACTAGGAAAAAACCTGTAATATACAAAAGAGATTGTTTCATTCCAATCGTATTTTAAGTTCTTTAGACAGTGGTTATGTTTTTTTAGCAGTCTTGAGCAGGGACTTCTGGTGTTAAATGAGTCGCCTTTCTTTTCAGATACCACTGTAAAAGGAGCAAGGAGTTAGTTTCATATTCTCTGAAACTGGGTTTTCTGTAACCCAGAACCCCATATGAGTGAGAGTCAAATGGAGTAAAAGTCAAGAAGGGGTTCTGGATATGTTGAGGAGGACCCCGCTGTCTGGTCTGAGATGAGGTCTCTGCTGAGCTGGCAGCACAATGTTCTGCAGAACAACTGGCGCGCATGAGGGCCACATTGGCCAGCGTTTGTTTGGAAGAGCAGAGGCGAGCTTCGCTGGCAGATGAGCACATTCTGTGTCTCCATGCAGGTGCTGGCTGCACAGGTGTATACACACACGTCAACATTCACAGGCTGCGGATGCCTTGAGCCCACTATCAGCTCATTGCTTCTCAACTCCAGGTTCTCCTTTCTTGGCTCTGATTGTCACACTTGAGCTAGAGGCGGCACATGGTGGGTTTTGTTAGTAGAGCACCAGGGAGGGGTCCTGCAAGGTTCCTGTTGCTGTTGGCAGTGTGTCTGTCCTCTCTAAGGGGGCTGCTGCCCCTGCTCTCCATGACTTTCCCTAGCTGCGTAATAGGCAGCTGCTTGCCTCTCCCAGACCCTGGGTGGGGCCCTGTGAATACGCTCAGGCTGCAGCTGCTGGGAGAATGCTGCCAGCACCCTGGAAGAGCTCTGAGTGCCGCCCTTGGCCTTGCCCCGGGTTCTTTAGCATCTGACACCTAATGTCAGTCGGCCTTTACAAATTAATACTCTTTCAACTTAAACTTTCCTGGTGCAGTTACTTGTATGACCTGACTGTGCACACTTAGGATTTGTATTATTTTCAGTGTTAACTTTATATAAATGAAACCTGAAATAATTCCTGAGTGTACTACTTGATTCATTATTGGGAAGTGAACTTTAATGTCCCCAGGACTGGGATCTAGAATATTACCAGAGCCCCGGATGCCGCGACTCTTGCCTTGTTCCTCCCCTGTGGTCTCTGTTGTCTGACGGGCCCCATGGGCTAGTTTGTGGCCCACTGCTCCTCATTTACCTGGGGCCACACATGTTGTGCTCTTACCTGGCTGCTTTGCCAGCAGAGGAGGGTCATCCATTTTACCGTTTCCAATGGATGGGCTGGTGGGTTTCCCGATTGGCACTATTTTGGATAAACCTGCTGCTATCGGTTCCAGTCCCTGTTTTTTGTACAGTTTGGGAAATGCTTTTGCTCCTGACATACGGAGTAGTGTGATTGCCTACTGGGCTCCAGAGGCAAGCACCTTGTTTTCATACTGTTAGGAGCTCTTTACTTACCCCTTTATCTTTTCTGTTCTGTTTTCATGATCCTCTCGGTTGACTTACATTGCCCACCTTTGGTCAGTGGGAACATCTCCCAGGCTGGCTCCGTAGACATTGCTCATGTAAGTAACTCCAGGGCTTTGACAGCTTGTGTCTAGAATAGCATGGTGTTCCAAGTTCATCTTGTATGTTTCCAGCTCCAGAAGTGGAGTCATTCATTTTCCAAGGAACCTTTTAACAGAAAATGATGTTTCACGAATCTACTACTGTCGTTGTAAAAGTCACCCTTTTTGGTTGTTTTTAGTCTGAGCTGTTGGGGCTGACACTAAAATTCCATTTAGCAAAATTTTGTGATTAAAGACTTAAGATGAGGCCCTCCCTGGTGGCGCAGTGGGTTAAAGCACTGCACTGAGAAGCTTAAGCCACTTCCGCATGAGTTCGATTCCCGCCTGCCCTGAAGTGACCACATAGCGAGGCAGACCTCTCCTGACCTACCCACTACTTCCCTCAGCAGTGTACTTCGTCGATCTGCCTGTTCTGCTCCCCACTCTGTTCCTGGTGAATCCTCTCACCCTCCCGCATCTCTGGCCTGTACCCCAGTTCTGTATAAATAAATAAAAACTTTAAAATAAAATAAAATAAAATAAAATAAAAAGGCAGAGAAAATGCAGAAAAGCTTAAAAAAAAAAAAGCTAAGATGATTGATAGGAAGAACTAGCCAGTGCACCCATTTACTTTGTTTAACTTGTGAGGCTCCAAGCATTGGAGGTACATCTGTATTCTGCAGGAAAAAATGAAGTTTAATTACCGTTTGTAAATATGGAGTTTATATATGTAGAGTGGTCGTAGGTGAGTATTTGCTGGGAACCAGCAGTGCTGATTTAGTGTAGTATGTATGCATAGCGAGTATCTAGGCTCAGTGCCCAACTGCTTGGGTGATGCCTGTTGCGTGTCTTCATGGGCTTCTTTCACTTACTTGCGCAGTGATCGATTGTGCAACTCCCGTTTATCTGTAAAATATTTTAAGGAACTACAGATTCCAAGAAAGTATTTGTTTTAACTTTTTTTTTTCTTCAGCTAAATGGCTTTCGCACCAAGAGAGCCTGATCTCTCTCTCTCTCTCATACACACTCACACAGACACACACATACACACACACACACACGCACACACACACAGTGTCTGAGGACATTTAAAGAAAGTCCAGAGAGAAGTGATTTCACTAAGACCACTCAATTAACTGCTGTCATACCTGAACTGGACTTGAGGTCTTTTGATTCTAGTCCAGTTTCTTTTTAAGTAAAATTATGATTAATCATTCATTAAATGTTTTAGTGATAAAAATGAATTTTGAGCTTCATCCAAAGGACAGCTGGTGAGAAGGGAGGTATGGGAATACAGAGGTCACCTGCTTTGCCTTTGCTGTGAACCCCACGACTAAGCAGCCCAGGTCTCTTCCTGTCATTCCCCTGAAGGCTGCTGTCATTCCAGTGACTTTTGTATGTGGGTGAGGCCAGGTATTCTGCACATTCTTCCCCTTTGCAGTATATGCCTTTGTGCAAGCCACTTCACTTTGCTGAACCTTCTTTTCCTCGTCTGAAAAATAGGGGTGATGATGTCTCCACAGAGTTGGGAAGGTGAACAGGGGCCCCTGTGAGGCATCTGCCCTTTCCCTTTAACCCCTGTGTGTGTGTGTCTTATGTTTCCTGTCTGTACTCTATCCTTATCCTATCAGTATTGACCTTTATAAACCCTTTATTGCATTACTGTGAAGTGGCAAGAAATTACTTGGCATCATAGAACAGTTTTTAATGGAGGTTATGTAGTATTTTTAGTCATAGATGGTGTTATGTCATTGGAACTCACAATCAAGTTTTCTCGACAGTAGTTCATAGATCATTTCATTTATTGTTTTGAAAGTGGAAATAACCAAATAGGATTTGACACAGTATCAGACTTAGTACATATCCCTTGTTTGAGTTTTGAAGTTAGCTGTAATCTGCACAGCATCTTTGTTGCACAGAAACTTTCCTTAGTGAACATGTCTAGGATCATAATTCTGAGTATGGCTTTGTTTTATAGTGAAAATGCCTCGTGTAAAAGCAGCTCAAGGTGGAAGAAGACAGGGCCCTGCAAAGAGACATCTTGCAGAACAGTTTGCAGCTGGAGAGGTGATGACTGACATGACGAAAAAGGAGTGGAAGCTAGGACTGCCCGTCGGCCAGGGTGGCTTCGGCTGCATTTATCTTGGTGAGTGGCTCACTTGTCAACCTGAACATTGATATGCCTTCTTCCAAAATAGGTTCTCATGATGAACTTTCACAGATGTTCCTAGTAAGCTGCACACAACTCGGCATGGGGATATTAGGCAGAAGTAACATCTCAGGAGAGCACAAGAAGACTGTGGCCTCGATCACAGTCGCAGAAGGATTGTGCTGAATTGTGTCCTTAGTGAGCACTGTGGCTTCAGGGTTTGGGGATATCCTCGTGCACGTCTTTTCCCACCTCCACTCCACTAGGATTTCTTCCCTCTAGTTTGGTTTATCTTAGATGTCTATTTTCAGTGCTTTAGCAGGTGTGGCCCCCTCTCCCTTCTGCACGACCCTGATAATCATTACAGTGCAGTTAGGGGAATGAATGCGCATATTGGACCTGATTACATGTCCTGTTAATTAACATACTTTAAAATTTGGAAGCATCTGTTATGGAGCACTAAGATTTTGTTTATTTAAAAAATATTTGGTTGTTTCTAAAACTACTTCACCAGGTATATTGTTGTGATACAGTGCATTTCATGTTTGCTTTTAATGCTTCTCTCTGACTTTTTTATTCTGTGTTCTTATTTCACTTCTAATCTTTATTTAATTAATTTCTACCATGGCAGTTTATAAAATTTTATTCTGGTAGTGGAACTCTTCTTCTTTCAAGTGACATCTTACTCAGAATACTAATGTGATAGCAGAAATTAGCATCATGCGGGAACCAGAGCTGTACTATATTTTGTAAATATGACTCCTCTGAGTCTTGGTATCTTTGGGAAAGAGCAGTTGATTCTTCAGTTTTTCTTGGGACCATCCCCATCCAGTGAACCAGGATATCGATTTAATATGAAAACCCTGCTAAACGGACGTTAGTGCCTGTGCCGGCCCAGGTGCAGCTCTCGCCTGTGGTCAGAGGCCAGCTGCTGTGCTGTCCGCACCGGGTGCGCTCTCGGCGCCACGAGGGTGGGGGCGACTGCCGGCAGTGTCTTCATCTTCCCTTCACCGCTTTCAGAGTCTGGCAAATTGGGAACTGGCTTTACTTGTGTGTAAGCTGTTTCGCTTGTACATGTACTTGTGATTAGAAAGTACCATCTAATAGTATTTTTAGTAGCCGGTAGTTGGACAGATTTCTGTAATAAAACTGTGCTCTGTAAGCCACGATCGCTCACTCTGGAGGAAGGACTTGCCTTAACATTGTTGCTGCCAGTTTAGCTCTGTGCCCGTGGTACCCCAGGACAGCCATTGTCAAGGCCACCAGCAATTGCTGCTAATGAATTCAAAAGTTGTTTTGAATTTTCTTTGTTTTTTTTTTTTTTTTAATTTTAGTCCTCGACTGGTTTGCTTTTCCTTCTCCTGACAGTTGTTTCTGTCGTCTCCTGCTGCAGCATACTGATATCCCTCGTTTGCTTCCTCCCTCTTTAGAGATGCTTGGTCATCTTTGCAGATGGTTCTGTGTTCTCCACTTTTCATTTTTCATCCTTACTTTCTGAGTCTCACAACTGCTTTCCTGTTTCTTCTCTTTATTGCTGATTTCCGTATCTTGTCTAGCTCACATAACCTACAGGCACCCTGCGTAGGGGCCGCACAGGCAGTCTACAGTTTGCAGCCTTGGTTGTCTCATCCTCAGGAGAGGTCTGTAAATGAGGACCCCCTGGGCCAGACACTGGGAAAGCATCTCCAGGATTCTTTCACTCATCTCCTGCCCCCTCCCCCCCCAGTCCTGTGCTTTACCTGCATGCCTTCTCAGAGCCATTCATTTCCATCCAGCCCTGCTGCTCCTGATGCAGATGTTCTTGTCTGGTTCCTCACTGACAGTAGGTCTTCTCTTGCCCTCCGTTGACGGCGGACCCAGCCGGCAGTTCATTTGCCTTCCTGTTCATTTGCTTCTCCAGCGCCTGTGGCATAATGTGCCAGACTTTTGAGAAGGACATGCAAGACTCTTCTGTAGTCTGGCAAATAGCCATGTGACTTTTATCTTCTCCCTTTTATCTCCCCAAAAACCTGTGCTTCACCCATCATGCCTCCTGGTATTTGTAAGTGATTCTTGTTTCGTTTTTCCAAAGCAGTGTAGGACAGATACTGCATGTTATAGTTCCCATGTGCTAATCCTTTCATCAAACTATTAAGTTACATTGCAACTACCTTTCTCTCTACAATAAATATGTGTTTCTTGACAACGGCCAGTACTTACTGTAGTCCTAGTGCCTGGCATATTTTGCAGTATATATTTATTGAATTTCTCTCTCCCCATGCTGTGACTTACATAATAGTAGTAGTAATAGTAGTAGTGGGTTATTATCTTCATTTTAGTATATATTTCTTTGATCCTAAATTCTTACTTAAAATAATCTGGTCTTAAACAAGAAATAACTCAAAGAAACAACCTACTCTCCCATCTTAAAGAAATGGAAAAAGAACAACAAAATAACCCAAAGCCAGCAGAAAACAATCCAAAAAATCAATGAAACCAAAAGTTGGTTCTTCGAAAAAATAAACAAGATAGACCACTAACCAAGCTTACAAAGCAAAAACAAGAGAAAGCACAAATAAACAGGATCATAAATGAAAGAGGAGAAATCACAACAGATCCAGCAGAAATCAAAAGAATAATCAGAGAATACTATGAACAGCTATATGCAAACAAGTTCGACAATTTAGCAAAAATGGACAAATTCCTACAACTCTACAGCCACCCAAAGCTAGATGAAGAAGAAATAGAACAACTAAACAGGCCAATTATAAGCAGGGAAATTGAAGTAGTAATCAAAACCCTTACCAGAAATAAAAGCCCAGGACCAGATGGATTTACAAATGAATTTTACCGAACGTTCAGAAAAGAACGTGCCTAGTCTACACAGACTCATCCAAAAAATTGAAAAGGAAGGAAAACTACCAAATATTTAATCTGAAGCCAAAATCACACTGATACCAAAACCTAACAGAGAAAACACGCACACACACACAAAACTTCAGACCAATCTCCCTAATGAACACTGATGCAAAAATCCTCAACAAAGTCTTAGCTAACAGAATCCAACAGTGCATTAAAAGAATAATATACCATGACCAAGTAGGTTTTATCCCAGGAGCACAAGGATGGTTCAGCATCAGAAAAATTAATTAATGTAATCCACCACATCAACTGACAGAAAAATAAAAACCACATAGTCATATCAGTAGATGCGGAGAAGGCATTTGACAAAGTTCAACATCCATTTATATTTAAGGCCCTTGAAATCCATGGAATAGCAGGAACATACCTCAACATGATAAAAGCCATATATGACAAACCCACAGCCAGTATTATCCTCAACGCAGAAAAGCTGAAAACCTTTCCTTTGAGATCAGGAACAAGACAAAGGTGTCCATTATTGCCATTGCTCTTCAACATAACATTGGAAGTTCTAGCCAGAGAAGTAAGGAAAAAGATATAGAAGGAATCCAAATAGGAAAAGAAGAAGTAAAACTGTCTTTATTTGCAAATGATAGGTTAATTTACATGGAAAACCCTAAAATCTCCGTAGAGAAACTAATCAAAACAATCAGCCAGTTTAGTAAGCTAGCAGGATATAAAATCAGCACATAAAAATCAGAGGCCTTCTTATACACAAATAACCAATCAGAAGAAGCAGAAATTTAAAAAAAAAATCCCCTTTTCAATTAAAGCAAAAAGATTCAAATACCTGGGAGTCAACCTAACAAAAGAAGTAAAAAATCTATACCAAAAAAAACAAAAAAAACACTGTTAAAAGAAATACAAGAAGACAAGAAATGGAAAGACATTCCTTGCTCATGGATGGCCATCCTACCAAAAGTGATACATAGATTTAACGCTATCCCAATAAAAGTCTCAATGACATCCTTCAAAGAAATAGAACAAATATTGATGAAGTTCACCTGGAACCACAAAAGACCTTGAATAGCCAAAATGCTCATGACTAAAAAGAAAAGAGAACAGAGGCATCAAAACCCCAAACTTCAAGCTATACTACAAAGCCACAATAATCAAAACTGTGTGGTACTGGCCAAGAACAGACATACAGACTAGGGGATTCGAATAGAAAACCCACATATAAACCCAGAGGTTTATGGGCAGCTAATTTTTGACAGGATCGAAGAAAGACAATGGAACAAAGAAAATTTATTCAACAAATGGTGCTGGGAAAACTGGAAGCTACATGCAAAAAAATGAAACTGCATCACTACCTTGTACCATGGACAAAAGCCAACTCAAAGTGGATTAAAGACCTAGACATAAGAATGGAAACCATAAAATACCTGGAAGCAAAGATGGGTGAAACACTACAAGACATATACTTCAGTAACATCTTTGAAGATATAGCGCCCAATGCAACAATAGTGAACGAAAGGATAAATAGGTGGGACTACATCAAGCTAAAGAGCTTCTGTACAGCAAAAGAGACATTACAAAATAACAGATATCCCACTGACTGGGAAAAAATGTTCTCACACAAAACTAGTGATAAAGGATTGATTACAAAGATATACAAAGAACTGATGAAACTCAACAAAAATAAACACCCCATCAAAAAAAATGGGCAGAAGAGCTAAAAAGACACTTCTCCAAAGAGAAAATGAAGATGGCCAACAAGCATTGAAAAAATGTTCACCATCACTCGTAATAAGGGAGATGCAAATTAAAACCACAATGAGATACCACCTCACCCCAGTGAGAATGGCACATCTTCAAACATCTAGCAACAACAAATGTTGGTGAGGATGTGGAGAAAAAGGAACTCTCCTACACTGCTGGTGGGAATGCAAACTAATACAACCACTGTGGAAAACTGGTTGGAGGTTTCTCAGACTGCTGAAAATGGAGCTTCCATATGACCCAGCAATCCCACAACTAGGTACCTACCCAAAAAACACAAAAACACTGATTCTAAATGACACCTGCACCTCCATGTTTATTGCAGCTTTATTTACAATTGGAAAGACATGGAAACCACCCAAATGCCCAAAAGTAGATGACTAGATTAAATAAGATGTGGTCCATATATACAATGGAATATTACTCAGCAAAAAACAAAAACAAAACAAAACCAAAAAAACATGCTTTTTGGGACACCATGGATGGGGCTAGAAAAGATCATGCTTAGTGAAATAAGCCAGAAAGAAAAGGAAAAATACCGGATGGTTTCATTCACAGCACGAGTATAAAGGACCAGGGGAGAAAATAATAACAACAAATAATGAACAGTTATATACCACAGACATTTTGCGGGTGTGGAGTGGGGAATGGGATCAAAAAGGGGGGGTGGGGAGGGAAGTGCACTGGACTATGGTGCTGGCACGTGGGTGAGTTGTTGATGGGAAGCCCATGGGGATCACAACTGAGATGGAAAAAGGCAAAAATGATGTAAAAATAAACTATTATTAAAAATTAACCTGGTGTTTATTATTAAGTTCCGCATGAGTTCGATCCCCGCCCTGAAGGTGACCACATAGCGCGGCAGACCTCTCTTGACCCGCCCGCTGCTCCCCTCAGCAGTGTACTTTGTTGATCTGCCTGTTCTGCTCCCCACTCTGTCTATGGTGAAGCTGCTCACCCTCCGCATCTCTGGCCTGTACCCCAGTTCTGTATGAATAAATGAATACATCTTTAAAAAAAAAAAAGAAAGCTCGACCCCTTCATCTGCCATTTTTAGGCATTTTTATGATTCAGAGTTTCTTCTTTAGTCTGGCAAATCTGGATTTTAGCTTCAACCCTTTCAAAATACTGCTCCTTCCTGGATCATGGGTAGTTTTCAATTTCCTTTGCCATCCCTTTTCACCTCTTCCCCTTCTGGTGGAAAATGCCTTAGAGCTTGATCTCCTCCCACCCCCCCCTTATTTCCTCTGACTGTAGTCTTTCCCTGGGGTGTGGGGGTGGGGGTCTCTTCCTGGCGCATGGCTTTAAACAACTGGCATATTAGTTGACAACTCTCAAACTTGTTTCTCCAGTTTGGACACTCAGATTGCTCTGCACTCTAGACATGTGCATCACCTGCCCACATAGCTCCTGGACTTGGGTGTTTAGTAAACATCTCAAACGTGGGGTGGGGTACCCCAAGCCACCAGCCCCTCCTTCAGTGTTTTTCTATCTTAGTCAGTACAGTATCCTTTTTCTAGTTGTTCAGGCCAAAGCCTGGATTCATCCTTCCCTCCTGCCCCTTCTTGCCTGGAATCTCCATGTCATCAGCCGTCCGCTCATCTTTGAGGCTGTTTCCACTCTGAACACTGTCGACCTCTGTTCTGCTTCTAACCACCACTGTCTTGCTTGTGGCAAAAGCTTAATTGATGTCCCTGCTTCTCTTGCCTGCATTGCTCTATTCTCCACAAGCAGCCCTCACAATTATTTAAAAATAAAAATTGATCTTGCCATACTCTTCTCAGAACCTCCCACTGGCCCGTCTTGGCTTGTCTTGGCCTCACCTGTCAGCACCACTTCATCCCCTCAGGTTGGTGTGTGACTTCTTCCACCTGCGCCTGTTAGTTCCCCCCTCAGGCACTTGCCAGGTGCTGTGGCCTCTTTGCTTTCTCACACTAGGCCTCTCGTCTCAGTGTGCTCGCCTGCAGTGTCCTCCCCGCGCTCACATGACTTGCTTACTCCCTCACTGCCTTCAGAGCAGCCAGGGTGACCATCAGAACATTCTCCTTCACCCTGCCGCTGCCTGCCTGCCTTTCCTGCCTAACTAACATCTCCTGTCCAGCTAATGCCACCATCCAGTGTACTCTGCATTTTAAATGTTGCTCGTTCCTGCCTCCAAAATGGTAGCTTCATAAGAGCAGGTATCATCTCCTGTTCACTGCTAACTCCATTGCCTAGAAATTGTCACATAGTAGGTACTCGGTAAAAATATTTATTTAATGAGTATGGACAACCCTATTCAGTACTGTAGGGCAACAGCCCCATTTGTTATTCTGGATGGCAGTTCAAAGTTCTGGTGCCAGCCGCCTGAATGGTTGATCTCGAGTCTCATTCCCTCACACTAATGTTTTTGGGAATAGTAGTTCCTTTCTTTCTTAACCTTCCTGACAGTTCTTCTCACAAGGATTCCCTGGTTAAATTTAACAAATGAGTATCAGTTATCATTTCCTGGGATCGTCACACTGTACATTAGCAGCTTATCAGAGGCTGTGTGTACTTTTGAGTTACAGAATTCCTTAACGCTGAGTTTTCTATTCTTAAGTGATGATTGTATTGCAGGTGTTGTCAATTATAAGCTACAATCCAGTTTTAGACATGTTAAAACAAAAGGTCTTAAAATGATGAACTTTACTGCCAAGTATTCTGAAACACATACTTGGGAACTGAAATTTATTCTTCAAGGAGGCTATAGCTGTTCAGACCAAAATAGTGATGAAGGTTAGAAACTGGCTATTTATGATGTTGCTGCCTCTTACTTCTGATGTCACACATTACTTTTTCCAACAGCTGACAAGAATTCTTCAAAATCGGTTGGCAGTGATGCACCCTGTGTTGTGAAAGTGGTAAGAAAATATTTCAGCTTATTATCTCTTTTTTTGAGTTTATGTAGTATTTATTTTGTAAAACATTCTTTTTCATTGCGAGAATGAACTAAGCTACAGGTATTACATTTTTTATAATATTTCATAAATGTTACTTAATGAGACTCAAAAGTTGCTTTATAGTTTTAAAGTCGAGTTCAAAAGTCCTTTTCTCTCTTGAGTTAGAGAGGCACTGGTATTCGGGGGAGTGAGTCAAGTGTGGAATAGTCAACTCCTTTTTATTTCAGTGTGTTTATAAGGGATGGATTGCTTTCAGTATTTTATAATAGTGTGCTAATGTAATGAAATTCTGTTTTACTTTATCTTGTATTTGCTTCTAAACATCTTTCTGTGCTTCCAGTTTTCTTCCTTCCTGTTTTAATAAGTAATTAATGTTGAAATTAGTAAAGGTTGACAAGATTCCTTTTGACCAAACTTTCTTCAGGTGGCCCAGTCAGTTTAAAGATTGCTTTTAGCTACTTTTTTTTTTTTGCATGTGTTTTCAGTATGTTATCCATCATTTTGCTTGCCACCAGGGTAATGGCCCCTTTCAAAATTCTTTGATACATTTGAAGATCATATGTTAAGTCGAAGAGGTAACGGCACCTGCTGTGTGGCCAAGTGACCATGGACGCCTCCTCTTCCTCCTGTTCCCCTCCAGACCATAGCCCGTTGAAATTAGAGTTGTCCAAAGGTTTTCGTTTTGTTACTTTCTTTTTGACAAGGAATATATTTGATCCCTTATGAGTTAATTTTTTTGGACCCGAATTATTTGTGATTTTTTTTTTTAAAGATTTATTTATTTGTGCATACAGAACTGGGGTACAGGCCAGAGGCTCAGGGGCGGTGAGAGGCTTCACTAGAGACAGAGTGGGGAACAGAACAGGCAGATCGAGGAAGCACACTGCTGAGGGGAGCAGTGGGCGGGTCAGGAGAGGTCTGCCCGCCATGTGGTCACCTCCGGGACAGGCGGGAATTGAACTCATGAGGAAGCGGCTTTAGATTCTCAGTGCTGTGCTTTAACCCGCTGCGCCACCAGGGAGGGCCTATTTGTGATTTTTAAAAATATTTTGAAGCATGATTTTTACAAGGAAAAGTATAGCTATTAAACAATTTGATGACTTTTGACAAGGGCATATAACTATAACCTTAACTCCCGTCTTAACTAAAATAGAGAACATTTTGGTCATCCCCCAAAGATGCCTTGTCAATGCCTACTTCATGCTCAGGAATACTTGTCCTCAGGTGTTTTTTTCTTCTTGCTGTGAATGGGTTATTCCTGTGGTAGAATATGGCATAAATGTGGACCGTCATATATGGGGTACTCTTTTGTCACTCACTTGTAGAGTCTGCATAATATGTTAAAGGTTCATCCATACTGGTGTACAGTTGCTTATTTGATTCTGTTGCTCAGCTTTGTGTTTTATACACTCAGCTCAGTGCATGCTCAGCTGCGGTGTTGTAGACACTCAGCTCAGTGCATGCTCA